AACACCAGTTAGAGCAACTGAATATTGGCCAACCATGATTTTAAAAAAAAGAAAAAAAGGAATAATATCTAATGAAAATGCAAAAAAACCCTACCCTACAGAATCACACAATGGTTTGGGTTGGAAGGGACCTTCAGGATCATCTAGTTCCACCCCCTTCCATGGGCAGGGACACCTTCCACTAAACCAGGTTCCTCCACCAAGCCCCATCCAACCTGGCCTTGAACACTTCCAGGCATGGGGCTTCTCTGGGCAACCTGTGCCAGTGCCTCACCACCCTCACAGGGAAGAATTTCTCCCTAATATCTAATCTTCTAAGCCAGACTCAGCACTTTATGCCAGAGGAAAAGGTTCCCAAAGCCACACACAGGTTCCCTGCTGCACTTGCTCCTGGCTGCCCACCCTCCAGGGCACTTGTATTTCATACAGTCATTTTTAACTGTAGATTTTCAAGAGATCACATAGCTTGCCTTAATTCCCACTTCTCCTAGACAGTGCAGAGAAGAAACCACAGCTGACTTTAATCACTAGAGAGCATCCAACCTGGCACCCCAAAGAGGCTGGGAGAAGCAGCTCAACAAAACCATGAGCTGCCCCTGCTAGGAATTCCAGCAGGCTCTGGAGGAAGGCAGAGAAAGCTCCTCCCCAGCAGGAGCAATTAAGAGTTTAGCTGATGTCCTCTGCTTGGCCTCAGCTGTCCCTCACATTTTTTTATCAGTGCGAGTGGCTGTAGACAATTTTACAAGTCCCAACGTGAACGCCTTGCTGTCTCCTAGTGATAAAGATATCCTGTGGCAATGATAAGCTAATTAGGCGTTGTGTAAAGCAGATTAACTTTTAATGTGTTGCTCTCCCATGTCACTGGCTGCCCCTTTCTCTTCCTTTAAAAGAAAGGGGAGATTTACCAAATTAATCATTTCCAAAACACTGGTACCTTGTCAGAGCCTCTATCTGCCAGGTTTTACCTCAAAGCTAAGTAGCTCTCAGCTTTGCATTCTCCTCTCATTTCTGCCCTTCCTTTGCTGGAGATTTTCCTACCATCTCTGAGACAGGATGATCACCAAGCCCTGCATGCAGCTTGGCAGTGCTCCATTTACATAAATAATGCTGCTCACTGCAGTATTTTCACTTACTCTTTCTAGCCCTAGTTGCTGTTAATCTTCTTCCACACACATCCCACCTGTCTTTTTTTCCTGGCTGGCTCTCATTCTTTTTTCCAGTAATCTGAAAAGCTGTTTAGATGAATTATCTGCACCTGCATTTGTCCAAAAAGTTGTCCACGGGTTGCTAAATCCTTTCCATAATGAGGTTTCTTTGAAATGCCTACTATTCGTCTCTAAAACTGCAATGATTTTGTGCTATCCCATCACCGATTCCAGTTCAGAGACCCAGGACAGTGCCAAAAGTCTTTTCAAATGGAAAAAAAAAAAAATCCCCTTTTCTGTTCCTCACCCAATTCTTGATAAGAACAGTGACTTTTCTAATGCCCACAGACATTTTTAAACAAAGTATGCAAGAGTAACCTGAATCTAGTGTGTGTTCAGCCAGGCATTAAAAGCTGGTCAAGTTCACTGTCAGATGAATATCTGAAGGTTTTAGGCATGGCTACAGTCTGAGAAAAACTCATGTTTTGCTCCATTTTATATAACCCACTGGGAGATCACATTACCTCAAGGACCAGACAGTCTGCACTGACCCCCCCCAAATGTACTTTGTAAGTGACATTAAAATATGTGTGGAATGATCATAATTAACTTTGACAAGCAAAAGAGTTAAAATAACCTTAAACTGAAGCCTACACTGGTCTGAATCTCCCAAAGATGTTCTTTTCTTTCCGATGCAAGAAAACTTGCAATTCCTGTGATGCTGCACTGTCTTTGGCACACTACACAGCTCACTATGGTATTTATAACATCCACACCAAGTCCCAGGGTTACAATATTTAGCTGGTTGTTGCTAAGGATTTGAGTTCTACTTTGTTTAGTGATTTGGCCTCTCCTTTCTTAATTAAGTAGCAGCTTTCTTGAGCAAATGGCTGGATCTCCCCAGAAATAGTCACTGGAAGTGATTAAACTGATGACAAATGTGGAAAGACTGTTCTTCCTCACAACAGTGAGTTAAATACACACCAGGAACAAATGGAGTAGAGAAGACAGCAAACTTAGTGCTGACTTTTTGCAAAGAAATTAAAGACATTACTGGTTTTCTACCTTTGTCCTGGAATAACTTTCAAGGGGTGTCACTGTTTCAGGCAAATTTACAGCTTGACAAAGCAGCTGGACACCAACCTCGTTGTATAAATCACTGAATTCTTCAACCACATCTTTCGGGATCCTCTGCCCGTTGTTGGTGAGATGATAAGCCACTCCATTCTTGGAGTAAAGGCTGATCCGGCCAACACTTCTCTCGCTGTCAGTAGTCTCTTCAAGTAAACCATTGTCTTCTGCTAGATGATAGACTGGGTTTCCATGTGAACCATGAATCCACGTAGCTCCCAGTTCAACAGTGGCATGCCCTGCAGGAGAGGAAGCCAAGCAAAATGGTTATTGAGCCTATTTTCCTGAAAGCTTGTCATGCTCAACACAAAGTAAGATGTACATGTGCAAAGGCAGAATTGCCCAAGGACAACACATGTTTGAACATCACTTAAGTGAGTTTTCTGTCAGACACAGGCAAAGTAAAGTTCTTCAAACCAGTCCTTCAGGATGCAGGTTTGGATAGTGCTAGAAGGATAGGATTTTGCCAGTAAAGTTCCACCACAGAGACACATCTCTGATAATGAAGGAGAAATTCAGACCTTGCTAGGTTCCCAGTTCTTATCATGGTTGTTGCCAGCAGGGAGATGTAGGAACACTTGGACTGCACTGGGATAGCAACACTGGCCTGAATACTGAACTTTGTCCTGTGATTAAAAATGGTTATTTACAAATACACCTCAGAAAACTGCAATAAAAATGCATTTCCATTCCCAAATGAGTCAATAGGATATATTTTATTATTTATGCCTTTGAAGATTTGTATCAGATTCTTTAAAAACATGCACCATCAGGTTAAACACTAAATGCATTTCATTTTCATCACCTGTACTCTCTGCCTGCAAAACACAGAGTTGGGTCAGCCCCACTCTGCCTCTTCTTCAAAACTATTAGGGTTTGCATAGGGCTCTGACCCCAAAGCAGTGCTGTCACCACTGGGCTGAGAGCACAGGGTGATGCTCAGCAGCTGAAAAGTGGTGCTAAAAATAAGCTTGGGTCATGCCCTCCTCCCATATTTTGACAGATTCTCAGAAGTCCAAAGCTGTTTTAGAGTCTGACAAAGCTGGGCATCTCCCAGCATCCCTGCAGTGGTGTAGGAATGCCTGATTAAGTGGGATAGTTAATAGGCTCCTGCTTAATGAAGAAAGAATGGTGCAGTTCCCAGTCATCATGTGCTGTTTAACATGTAAATATATGCTCAGAGAGTGACACTGTAGCACTGTCCTGTAATGCAGTCAAGTTGAAGGGGTGAAAGCTCCCAGGAATGCTGCTCTCTGCCTGAGACACTGCCTCTGAGGCAAGGAAGCTCCATGGATCTCATTTTTCAAGCAAGCACGTTGTCATGAAGGGCCATGCTGATTGTCCTTCAAAACCTGCATTACAGCACAAGACTTCTAGGTGTACCTAAACCAAAGCATGTGCTTCAGAACACAGCATCAACTCACAAACATGTTAATATTTAAGGCACCACAAACTCCCAGCACACTCAGACAGGTGAAAACAACTGCTGTGAACACTGGCAGCCACATGTACTGAGCTCATCAATACTGCATGTGGCAGTCCCCTTGTTAATACAATCCTCCTGCCAGTCAGCCCACA